AACCTCATTTTTATTTTAAAGGTTAGTTTAATTCTTTCATTTCAAAATTATTGACCCTTAACTGTGCCAAGGCTACAGAATAAAAAATTTCTCAAATCAGATACTAGAATTTAAGCCGAGTTACACATGTATGGCATTATACGGATTGACCATATATATAGAAGTATTATTCTCTCGGCGCGGGTGCCTTCTTATGTTACTGCTGCAAGCGGAGATAACACCCGTTGCATAATGTTGAAATTTTAGAACCCTTCCCAACCAAACCAGGACATTTTGTTTTTCTATTAAAAATATTAACCGTCTGCTCTAAGACTTAGGCTAGGTTTGGACAATCTTTATCAGTACTTTAATTTTTTTATTCTTTATATATTTTTTAATTTTTTAAATATATAAAATATTAATTAAAATAAAAGTTAAATATATTAAATATATTTTATATATTTTTAAAATAATTTTTTTATCTTAGTTGCACAATGAAAAACAACTATCTTCTATCTCTTATCTCACTTCACCCGCATACGATGTGACTCGAACTTATAACTTTTTACTTTAAGTGGAAAGAAATGACCACTGAATTATTTAAACCATTGGTATATTTTTAAAGTATTAAAAGATTAAAATAGTCATAATTACAATTATAGATTAATATTGTTAAACTAAACCTTAATTAATTGATATTATTTATTGAGTTTTAATTTAAAGACTTAGATTATGTTTGTTTTGTGAGAAAGGAATGGAAAGAGGAGGGGATGAATGACTTTTTTGACTAATTAAATTATAATGCTACTCAATATTTTGGGATGAAAGGAGTATATATTCCATTTGTCTTAAAATAAATTTTATTTTTTTATTTTTATTTTTTTTAATTTAAAATTTAGAGACAATTTATGTATTTATATATATTACCCTTAGGAAAAAGTTAGAAGATAAAATAAGATTTTTTGTCATTAGATAATAAATCAAAATAAATAAATAATAATATGGTTAAAGTAAGAAAAAAAATATTTATCTAACCTAAAAAAATGAAAAAATGAAAATTAATTAAAGATAAACTCAAAGTCAAATTACGACAATTATTTTGAGATAAATGGAGTAATTTGATGTAACATGAAATAAAGAGTAAATGTCCTTTTACACACAAGACTCGTACATAAGTTTTACATAAAATCATTTTTTTTACTAAACTTCTTAATATTTAAAAGTTATATTTAATTTTAACTAATTTAAAGTTAAGTTTCGTCAAAGCTCAAAAAAAAAATTCTTTTAATGCATGTTTTTTCATTTATATGATTTAAATTCTGTATCTTTCAAAAAATTGAGTTTTTTCAATTCAAACTAATAGGTCATTTATATCAAATCATACACATAAGTATTGTGAGTATATTAATTCAAACCATCGTTTACTTGTAATAAATGTATATTGATTTTACTTGTAATTTATGTGTGTCATTATTTATTGCATATAATCTGTCATTAGATGTCAAAAATATTAATTTCAAGAACCTTAATTGATTCAAATTATCGTTTGGGATATCAACTCATTACCGTGTTGGGAAAATTGGGGCAAAAACCCCCCGTTTGCCCTTCAATTTTTCGAGTTTAAGGCATTTTACCCCTCATATTACAATATATGAGTTTTTACCCTTTATGTTTAAGAGTTTAAGAAAATGAGACAAAATTTAATGCCAAATAGTCACATGCAACACGTGCACTATTAGCCTCCACCATACATTCACATGCCAATGCCAACTTAGATTTTTTTACATATTGGCAAGTCCAGCTTGCACTTTACAATAATGACATGGAAAAAAATAATAATATGATAAAAAAGTTTTAAAAAATTCTTTTTTTTTTTTTGCCTTCTTTTTCCCTTTCTCTCTTCTCTTGGAACCCAACAGAATTCATCAGCAAACAGAAGGGAAACGAAAAGGCTAGGTTCCTTCGAACCTAGCACACCTGGGTTCGATGAAACCCAAGCGCTAGGGTTCCAAGGAACCCAAGCACTTGGGTTCCTTTGTGCAATAATCCGTATGGCATAAAAAATTTCACCTTTGATAATTTTTACCTTTGCTTAGTAACAGTTGTTGTAAACATGTGAAATTTATGTCTTTGCTTCTTTGGCTATCAAAATCAGGTTGTTTTTCTTGATTGCAGAGATATGCTTATTTGCTGGATCAATGACAAATGCATCGAACCTAGGCGTGCTGGGTTTGAAGCAACCTACACCTGTGTTCCATCGAACCCACGTGTTTTGGGTTCGAAGGAAGGAACCCAATCACTAGGTTCCTTTGTGCAGTAATCCTCTTCATTATTTGTTGGTATGGCATAAAAAAGTTCACCTTTGATAATTTTTACCTTTTCTTAGTAACAGTTGTTGCAAACATGTGAAATTTGTGTCTTTGCTTCTTTGGCTATAGAAATCAGGTTGTTTTTCTTGATCGCGAGGATATGCTTGTTTGCTGGATCAATGAGAAATGCATCGGACCCAGGCATTGTAGGTTCGAAGGAACCCATGCTTGGGTTCCTTGGAACCTAGGTGTGGTTCCATCGAACCCAACCTTTTCATTTCCCTTTTGTTTACTGATGAATTCTATTGGGTTTGAAAGGGAGAA